GCATTTCAGACTCCCCTCTGGTTCAGATAACCTATGCCAAATTCAACCTTTGTGTAAGTAGGAATGACTCCAAACCAGTTTTTAGAGTCATTCTTTATTACCAGAATTAATGGAATTGAATTTGGCTCTCTTTGCATGTGCCATTTGGAATAGTTTATTTTTCACATGAGGTTTGGCAGGGATCTCTCCAAAATAATTTCTCCTGAAACTTACCCCCAAAAGCCAGCCCGTAAATTTTGAAATCCCTCTGTTTAGTTTGAACGGCTTTTTAGAATACATCCTGATCTGCAACCTTCATTATACAGAGATAAGAAGTGACCATAAAAAGTCCTTGGTTGGTAAGTTAATCATACACCCTAATAAAATGTTCCAAATACTATCTTAATTACTATTTTAATAACATATATACAAATACTTTCAAATCCATAGTTTTAAAAGCTGCTATACTTTGAGTACATTTATATATATATATTTAATTCAATGTTTTCTACTATTAGTATGTGGGCTCAGAAAGTCTGGAATTCACAGCAGTTTTTGCTATATGGTTTCACGTAGTACATAAAATTGTCGGCTTCTCCCATTGCGCTAGAAGACAGGAATGTTATTATTCTAGAAGCTGGAATTCTGGTTTCTAACCGTGGTCCAACACAAACGTCTGTGCATTTTGGGAACCTAACCTATTTGAAATGCAACATCCTGAACCTGGAATTAATTGATCATGAAAAGTATAAACAGCTCCTTATTCATCCTGAAGCAAGTGTAGAACCCTTTGACACATTATGGAAAAATAATGCGGTTCTTAACGCTCCTTTTTTTGTTCTGGTTGATTTTTAGGCTTGGATCCCTGCCAGGCACACAATAAAGTACTTGGCCTTTAACACAGACAGGCATGATTCTTCTTTCATACTCTCAACTGGGAACTGACAAAACTCAGTACATTACAGATTTATTTCAACTGAAATGTTCACAGCTACTATCCAGAGACAGCTTTTCTTATATCTTTAGGTTATTTATCAGCTTGCAAATCTGATCTGCAAACAAGGAAATAGCTTTTAGAACCAGTTAACGCAAGGTTTTGTACAGTGAAGCTGATGCGATCACTAACAGGTGAAGAACTATTTGCAACGTGGCGGGTGTTACACGCAGTCCTTGAACATACATTAAAAAGATAAAGTTTCAAGGATTTACTGCCACCCTGAAGGAAAGAACTGATGTTTTAAGTAACTGGATTTGTATAAAGTCTGTAAGACAATCCAAGTAAATCCTCAAATAGATGATTAATTCCTCATTATTTAAATGCCCTTAAATACAAGTGCAGATGCTAACTTCACAGCTTTGTCTTGACAGCTCCTTTGCTATTTCTCATGATCTGGTATCAGTCTTTGACTATAAAGCCCTGAAAAGATGTGCCGCATGAAAAAACCCTCCAGCTCCTAAGGAGACTAAGTTCTAGCAGCTTAGTGCTTACATGGTTCTCTCAGGATCTGAGTGACACTGCAGTATATGATAATAGTATATAAACATATAATGCCTCTTTCTGTAGACCTGGATTACATTTGTATAGGGTAAGTTCATGAGCGCTTTCACTATCTCATGCCCAACTAAGACATGAGTACGTATGCACATGCCTAAACTCTGTCTTGAGCAGAGACTTCCCGATATACCCTAGGTGTCAGAAAATTTCAGGGTAATCTCACATTACACTGACAAGAACAGGCATTCATTTTCCTAGACAATATTTATACTTCTCATCAGCCTGTCCTTTGGTTAACTAGCTGAGGTTTACTTTAAGCCTTGAGATCCACCCTATAGCATTTGGCTTATCATCTATCCTAGTTATAAACGTAAAGGGGGGTTGGCAGGGGTGGGGATGAGTCCAAAGGATGCAAACCTCAACAACAAACCAAAGCACAAAGGAACTGGAAAATTTCAAAGGGTATGGCTCTCTAGCACAGACAGTGCTATATACATGTGTCTGTTTATGGAGACACACTAAACTGAATTATTCAGTTACTTACAAAAAGAAAAAGAACAGACTGTGGGGAAGGGAGAGCAGAATGAAGGCGCAACAGAGCAAAAAATTCATCCCGCAACAGATGAGAAGAACAGAGGAAAACTGGAAAATGGATGTGGGGGGGGCGGGTGGGAAATGGATGATGAGAGAATAGCAGGCCTATTTAAAATGAATTTTTGACCTTATTTTTAAAACATTTATGGATCCCAATTGCCTGTCATGAGATCATTTTCCCTTACAATGCCAGCTTTTCAGCCGGCTCTGCACTTTAACTTGATTTATCCCACTTTCAAAAAAAAGTAGATTGTTAGAAATACCCCTTCTATTAGAAATTCTGCCCCACTACAGTGTCAGCTAAAGGCCACTTGTCAATGTCAGCTTTATCAGATAGAAATTTGCCTCGTAAGTTCTCAGATACTTTTTGGGGAGGACAAGACCCAGGGTACGTTTCTGAAGCTGTTGATTTGTGATGGGATTGTGTCTTCTCAAATTATCCTCTGTTATTTCCCAACTTATCTGCATGTTTCATGAGATGGTGGGAAGTGATTACAGCAGCTGCTGTACATTAGAAAGACATCTTATAGGAAAGCTGGCTTAGGTAAAACAGCTGACTGACAAAAGCACAGAAAGAACTAACAGAGTATTAAAAATACATAGGGAGATCTCCTTTCCAGCTGCAGCTTCCCTTATGCCATAACCTCTTGTGGGAAAGAAGAAAACTTATACCAGAAGGTTTTCCTCTTCCTCAGCTGCCTGTCTTTAAAGAAAGACCTGACATCCTTAAGACAAGAGTTAGTTTTATTTATTTATAATTATGCAATTAGTCATCAGCATGTCTCTTCACTGATGAGTAAAGGTAGAAAACGTCATCTGTTGTTCAATCTGCGTGAGCACAGTACTGCTGAGGGTCAGCAGTTCGAGGTGGGAAAGGTGACGCTGCTTGAGGACTCTCCTGGCAAGATCCTTTGAGGCATTTGTTTTCTTGTTAACATTTTTGATTCTATTGGTGTTCCATTTTTTTCTGTCTGGACTGATGTAACATAGGTATTTTACAGGTAAAACTACATGTAAGAGTAGAAATTTCAGCCAGGAGTCCAAAGGGAGCAAGCTGTGGCCACAGTATTTTCCAGACTGAAAGACAGCGCTTATGAAAGCAAGGCTGGATGGATCAATGGATGATATTGTTGCAGTGAAGAGACCACAACTCTTTGAAATTTGTAAACCACTTCAACAAGAGGAACTGTTGCAGCAACAAACTTCAGAGTATTAAAGCCCTTAAGGTAAACTCTGATTTTTAATCAGACTGCCATTCCTCACAACAGGGACATTTAAATTATTCTGCATTGGAAGGACAAAAAGAAAAACCCTGGTGCCATTATTATGAATCAGTTCAAGATTGAGATACTTAAAGCTCCCTTTCAGGTGCTCTGATCAAGGACAACTTGCCTCACAGGAAAAGCAAAGCTTTGGAAATCAGTAATCTCTGGACAATATACCTAATAGGAGAGGCTTAGAAAGGATTACCTAGAAGAAACCTTTATGAATCTCAGGAAACTACACTGGACCATAAATCTCAACCTCCTCTGAGGATTAATAAAGCTTTATCAGTTTCAGATAAGAAGCAGAAAACCTCAGGCTGCTGAAGAGTGAAGAGGTACCACTGGCCCAGTCTGGGGCTTCTGTCAGACTTATCACACCATACATTTCAACAGAAAGACACATCTGATGCAAATTCTAATTTTAGTTTACAAAAGCTATTCAGAAGAAGAATGGGAACGACACATATTCCCAAATTTGGGTCAGAAAATATAAGGCAGTAGATAAAAGTTAACTGCTTTCAGGCAAGAATAACATATACAGCAACATTTGGGGGGTTAATGAACAAATACGTAGGATAACTTATGTAAAACCACCCTTTTTACTAACTCTCTGTGACTGCAATAGTCTTGTCTCACACACGACTTTTTTGGACTACAACCCCAATGCTTGAAGATTTCACCTCAGCATTCATGCTGATAAGTTTGGAGGACATCTTAACTATTCTGTGATCCTATGACATTAAAACCACGGTTAGTTCAAACCTCAGGTGTCTGTACATTCTTAAGATTTTAACATAATTCCGTCTCTTTTTAAACTAAAATTTTAAATTTAGCATAAATTGCACCTTATCAAAGTTACACTTGTGAATGCTGGTTGATTATAATTACTTTTAAAGAGACAGAGTCCAACTCTGAAACCTGCTCAGGTGGAGCTCTTGAGTACTGCAGTTGTGATCCCACAGACTACAGCTGTTGCATTTATTTAACACATTCAAAAATCCAGCACTGCCGATTTAATCTCTGGTTCTACCACAGAACCTTTGGTAGTGGGGTAGATAATACATCGTTGTGTGGTGTAAAACAGGGAGTACAGCATGTCTGTAGCAGCTCTATAGTGTAGGCGTAATATTTTAACATCTTTTGGTGGGAGAGGAGGAAATTATTCCATATTTCACTTACTAATTTCAGTTACTGAGGATGTACTGTGGCCAGATTGCTACTGTCCAGTGTGCAGACAGAAAGGCAGGAGCAGACATGCCTCTGTTTCCTCCCTCTCACTTTGAAGATAAGCACAGTGAGAGTCTGCTCTTCTAACGCTCTTTTAACCCAGGGAACCACTGGATGAACTGCCAGAGTACCATAAATCCTGTTGAAAAGCCTTGATTCTACCACATGTGACAACATCTGGCAATGACTTCATACCTTAGGCCTAAAGAGAGGAAACCTGGGCCTAAATCAAACACGGTGAACAGACAAGTTATTTTTAGCCAACTTTTCATGTTATTCATATTTTCTTTGGTGGGCTGGCATTAAGGATTTCTCTATTTCTACACCCCCCAAAATTCATGTTAAGATGACAACAGTATTTCTGGAAATCACAAGCAAATCAGCACCTTCTGCTAATCCTGAACCCTGCAAAAGCACTTTGCATCATACTGTGGACCTACCCAGCGCTGGTCGTAATCAGAGGGTTGCGTTCTTCCTTCGTCATCCTCGTAGAAAGGCAAGCCTTCCCGCCTGGCCTGATGGTACTCCTTCCGTAACTTCTGGATACGATCAGCATTCCCACCACCTGTGCAGCCACTGAGAGAAAATAAAAATGCTAAATACAACTCAGATGTACGCACGTACACCAGGCACCTATATGAGCACACACACAGAGTTGCCTCACCTGGGACAAATGGATTATGAATAGTTGATAGTCCTGACTTGTGCAGTGCCTGCTGGCCCACATCACCCTTATCTTTGTTTTCTTGTATTAATAAAGCTGCTAATTTTGAACTTGAGCCCCATTTTTTAAAAAGCTGTCCCTGTCCAAAGAACTTAACAATTCCAGTGCAAGACAAGAGACAACAGATGGATGCAGACAGATGGGGGGAGCACAAGGAAACTTTTAACATTCCTATGAGCAGCTATAAATGGCTATCATATTTTAATAATAATGATGATGATGATGATAAGCTGCCAAAAAAATGTTTCCTTTTGCTCCCACGCTAAATGTGGAATTCCCCTAAAATTACATTTGTTCAAGGTAAAGAATACACTATATTCACAGAGAAGCATAAAAGAAGTTTTATCTTACAAAACCCAATCTTCCTCCCAATTATATGAAGAACTAAAACATCGGCCATGAAAATACAGGGGAGAGAAGAGAGATGGGAAAGAACACTACCAAACCTTGTCACCATTTTTTAAAGTGGTAATTAAACAGTAATCCACTTAGTAAGCCACAAAGACTCTTGTATGCTGAACTGCACACACTGCGAACTGCCACGGTCATGCCTAGTGGAGTTACTTAGTTTATCGAGTTAAACATGTATCTGTCTTTGCAGATTTTGACCCTGGTGAGCCTTCTAAAACCTTACAGCTGGACTTGTACAACTGTGGAATCTCAAGCTATACATGGAAAGATTAAAAAAAAAGAATGATGAAAATAACTAAGAATAATAAAAAAAAAATACAACCACATTTAGAATTAATAAATTAAAAGTTTCCTGCAGCTATTTCAGCCCTGCTGTAGTCAGCACTGGGGTGAATACTGACTGTACGGCTCAGTAGCATTTACTGGCATCCACAGGGAATTGTCATACAATTTATTTGTGGCCATTCCTAAACTCAGACAATTGTTATTTGCAGAACATCATCATATATTCTCCTAATCTGCAACCTTAACTCTGCCTCATCAACAGGGCTAGAGAAGTACAGATTTATTCATATGAGCACAGACACTGTGGAGCAGCTTGTCACACTCCCCTCCAACATAGGTATGCCAGAATCTGGGGAAGCATTTAATAGGATTTGCATAGAGAAATGAATTTGGAAAACACATACAAAAGATTGGACATAGACCTAATAGGTCAATAAGAAGTACTTTCTAGCATCTAATAGCAATCTAGATTAGTTGGAAATTAGCTAGCAATGAAGGGAAATTCCATGTAGACTGCAAATGCAACTGAATATGCAGTCAGGATTGGAAATGTTTACTTGCAGTATCAGTATGTTTCCATGAAAAATCAAACACTTAAATCACTTGCCTTCCCTGGATCCTAAATTATCCAGCCCCTCTACTCTTACGAAGTCCCAGAGGTTTCAGGCTTTTCTGGCTGACTTACTGAACTCTTCCAGAGCATACACAATTTTTCTCATGATCTGCCAAGGCAGCACAGAAAGCTTGCATAAACACTGTGGACTGTTAAGGGAAAAAGAAGTACATTCCCTTTTCCCCTTGATTCCTTCCACAGATAAATACCCCCCTTCCTTGCATGAATTCTTGTCAAATAGGGGAGAACCATTTCCAGTTTGCAAAACACTACAATTGAGAACTAGCTAATAGGGGTTATCAGTTAGAACAGTGAAGCTTGGTCCATGAGCAGCACAATTCCCTGACTTTACTTGTGAGTACAGATAAAGAGTCTAATTAGGGCTGCTAACATAAAGATAAGGTCCAAAGTGTTGTCCCTGTTGTTTTGCAAACATCACTACACAAAGCAGCACTAGCTAAGAGAGGAAAATGCAGAAATACAGGCAACAGGTCTGGTTTATTCCAGTCCATCTGGCTCCCTGTAGTTCTCTGCAAACTGTCTTAGTGCCTGTCACCAGTGCCCTAATGGCCACACACCCAATTTCCATCTCCAGGTATTCTGACTGAAGAGGTAATCTGAAAGTACTGTATTTCCCCCCCCCCCCCCCCTTTTTTTTAAATGGAAGCTGATACCAATTCATCATAAAAGGCACCAACAGCAGCTTGTGCTCCATTTAATGCAGATCTCCTGTAGGTGAGCTTCCTTCTGCTTAAACCCATCTAGCCAGCAAGTGGAAGAAGGTGTTGCAGAGAACAAGATTATTATACATATTAAAAGACTGGGACTGACAGCATTTTCTTTAGCAAACCTCTGCCACACCATATTAAAATACAAATCCTAACCATGAGAATGAGTAGGAACGTTTGAATGAAAGATAGCAGCACATGGGAAGCTATCCATCTGGATTAGTGTGAAAACACAAGCATAATCTCTGTGGAAACAAGCAGCTCCGTGAAGTCTGATTTCCTGTGCTTCTCTCCTGTGGGTTCTCTGGTGTCCGATTAGGGACTGAGTTCACACTGCAGTGTTTCTCTCCAGCAAGGGCATTTGCCTGGGTGTCTCTAGCAGACTGCTTATTTTCATGAAACTTAGTGACCCAGTATCTTTGGAACACTGGATTGCCTGTCAAGGCTGGTCAAAAACAGCCAGCAGGTTCTGAATTGTAAGAAAGGTGGGGAGAACATGTTGAAAGAGGGTCAGTCAGTACATTACCTTCATTTCTTCAGGAAACAGTTAAAGCTCCACAGCTCTTTAATCTTTCTTTTTCCCCTCCATCACTGTTTATAGTCAGAAATGTAAAAGACATTGGCTTTTGAAAGCTGTATTCTAGCTTACCATGAAAGTTTTACCCACTCCTGAGTAATGCAAGATGAATACGATGCCCTGTGCAATGCTCATGAAACAGTTCTGAATTTCAAGTTGGCTCCTGACAATTATGTGAATATATGAACCACATTCAAACTCACCAGATGAATTCAATCAGCACTGTGCAAATATCGCATACATAATCTATTAGTTTACCCCAAAGAAACTGAAGCATTGAATTCAAACAGAATGAAGTCATCAGTAATAAAAAAAAGAAACTGATAAGGCAATATTAAAAAAAAAAAACAACACAATTTTCCAAGATTTGCAGGGAAGATCCTCCATTGACTGTAAACTATTCTCCCATCTGCCTATAAATACATAATTAAAAGATATAGGTTTGATCAGATAGCAGTTCTCAGACAGGGAACAGCAGATGAACACCAGTTCAAATATTTTGGCTGCAGGAGTATTTATACTGAAAAGGAACCTGAACTTGCAGAAGAAATACAAAAACAATACGCAATCAAAGTCAATTTATATTAGGAGACTTACTGAAGCTTTATACCAAGCCTAGTAAGTACAGCAGACAGATTTCTTCTACAGTAGCTTTACATTTAATGCAGTGCTCCCTCCTTAAGGAGATATAAATATTACAGTCCTCATCATATCTACAATTCTGTGCACAACTCACTCCCCTGACATGGCTCCCTGCACTGTACGATCTTCAGAGAACTGTGCAACCACCCCCTCCACCACGGGTTCCCAGGCTCTAACATTTAATCTACCCATGGACTTCTCCATTGTCACAGGGCTGTAAGAGAACCGTCCACTCTGCGCTTTGCAATTAATTTCAGACCCATTTCCCACAGTTGTGCTACATGTAAGCAGAGTGATTCAGAAGCAGCAGAGATAAATAATGTCTAGGTGAGGGAAAAGTCTCCAGGAAACCTTACAAGGAGTTTAGCAAAGACTCAGATGCTGATTTCAAATGACAGTAACAAAACCTGTCCAAAATCCCAAGCCAAAAATCATCTTAAGGGAAATTCAACAGTTCTTTGAATAAGCTGCACATACTGCAAGGATTTTTCAGGGAAATATTAAAAAATAAATAATAATCTTATGTAACATTCAAAAGAGGTAAAATGAGCACATTCCCATGAGCCTTTCTGTAGCTCTGCTAGATACAATCATTACAAATGAAAGCTTTCTTCTGCCCTGGGAGAAAGACGAAAAGAAGTCTGGATGATTGTTCTAACCCACGGCTCCCGGGGCTGTACTTCCAGTAGATAAACACCAGAGATCACCGTCTTTGTCCTGTGCCTGAATCTGTCAGAGGCACCTGATAGGTTCCACCTTGCCCACTGTACCTGTAAAGGGACCTGCTATGAAACTCAATCAATACAATTGGAACAGGCACCCCAAACCAAAAAGGAAACCATTATTTGGCACAGACTTAGCTTCAAGCTATCTCTAACAGTATGCAAAATATGACTGCGAAATTTGGTCCCACCATCTCTGAAGAGACAGATGAACAAGCACCATAGCAAGAACATTATATACCCAATATGACAGACAAGTCATTTTTTTCAAAGAATCAAAATATCATCATCAGTATTTAATACATATGGCTCATTTTTTGGCAATAAAATCTCCCCTCTGTTCTTCCTCTGAGCTGCTAACCTGGATTTCAGTCCTTCAGGTTAAAAATGCCATTTTTTAAATTAAGTGACTTCTTACTGCAGCTCTCCAGATAATACAAAATTAAAAACAAGTGCTCCATGTACACAGTAAGATGAACCACTTAAAGCTGTATATAAACATGCATTTAAAGAGGCGATAAACATTTTGTTTCCAGTGGTTTTCCTAAACACATTAATATTGCACAGAGCTTTTTTGCCAGCCACTTCTTTCAAACGCTGATTTCACCCAGCTGACTGTCAGCCTCTCAACAAACTGGCACTTCCAAGTGAAAATGAAATAAAAAAGAGGAAAGAAAGGAAACGAAAAAGTGATTTTCTATTAACAAACAAATCCAAGACAAAATGTGATTCACAGAGTCAAGAGAATGGACAATCTTCCACTCACAATCTGCTATAAACAGAACTAATTTTATATACTGAAAGGAACATAGTGGTCTGCAAAGATATACAGCATAAAGGAGTCCGACAGAGCATGTAAGAGTATCTTTCACTT